TTACAATAAAAAAACTCCCAAAATTAAAATGTCTATAAATAGCTCAAAAATGGCTAAAATTTTCCGAACATTAAACCGTAAGGAACAAAATACAACAAAAAAGATCTCTTGTCATTTTTCATTTTAAACAATATTTCTGGTAGAAAACGTCGTCCTTAATTATTTAATATTATAAATTTGTGAAATCGTGAAATCGTACGTTTTTTCTCCTTTAACYGCTTTTATTTCGAGTACCGTTTTGAAAATCGAAAAATGACCTTTCTAAAATATCAGCTCAAGAATATTACCTTTCAGAAATGATGCTACACTTGATACTTTTGAGCAAGTTTAGAGGGAGAAAAGTGTTTACAGAATAAAAAAGAAAAAGAAAAAGAAATAAACATCATTGTAAAACCAATAATACGAGTACATTTCTCACTCCGTTCAGAATTTAAAATTTAATATTAAGTTAGTATGTTATCTGATATTATAGTTTGAATTTCTCAATAATTTTAACCTTTAGAACGGCGTAACACCATTACATGTAGCAAGTCATTATGACAATCAAGCAGTTGCATTAATGTTGCTTGACAAACAAGCATCACCTCATGCCACAGCAAAGAATGGCCACACGCCTCTTCATATAGCGGCAAAAAAGAATCAGGTAATTTATTACGTCTTATATGGTACAGTATTATTATGTTTGTATTTATTATTAACAGTATTATCATTTATATTTATCCCTCTTTAAATAATATTTTTATTTTCATAATATTGAGTGAGTTATAATTTTATTGTATAGACATCGAAACTGAAAAWTATGCATGATTCATAGGTACTACTATTCGAATTTATTTAGACCCGATTCGTCATTTTATGTGACTAAAAATTTTATGGTACGTTGTAWATTATGTGCAAATAAATAATTCTTGGTTATCAGTTTATCACCGTTTTACGCAATATGGGAAGTATAGTAAAAATAAAAACCACTATCCTTCCTCAAAAGATTTTAATTGCTCCGCGTCATGAAACTATTTTCATAAATAATTAACAAAATGTATATAGATAATACTAATCCTTTAGCCTGCTAACATATATAATATGTGATGAACAGGTCACAGGAAAGAGCYAGCGTGTTACCAAATTTACTCGGTTGGCTTGATTATATTTTGATGGATTTTGAATTCAATTTATTGGTTTTAATCCAACTCAACGGGTTTAGTGCTAGTAAAATGTCTAAGACTCCGTAGATAGGAATACTTACCTTATGCGTCATTGATGCCGAATTAGTCTCGTTTCATCGCTTGTCCAAGGTCTGCAGGTCATCGGTAAAGTAAAATATATATTATTCAATTAACATTTTATGTCAATATACGTAAATATAAACGATGTAACTACTAAGTGTCTAGCCCAAAATATTATTGACATAAAAATCTTTCAGAAAATCCTCCTTTTTATTCTTCTTTTTCGTATCATATTAATCTGTCACTGATAAATCGTACAYTCGTACCTGMAGCGATAGACACGTATATAACGTATTAATGGTTACTATACGGCATACACCACATAATCGTAATATTATAACACCAATCGATAAACAAGARATATAATAAATTTAAAGAATAGAGCAAAAATTTTGTCATCAGCCGGGGATCAAACCACGGCCGTCTATTATTACCTGTTRATCAAAAGCGATTAGTTTCACGTAGAACGGATTAAATAGCCATTWTTCGAATATTACTGCGCATCACAGGAAATGTGAAAAAGAGATGTGGGCCACTAATCTAACTCTCCAGTGGAACTTATATTTTCTACTGCAATTGGCTTCAAAGGGTTTAGCTTTTGGAGAGCTTAATTAGTATTAATA